ACAACAATTGAGATAGGTTTTACACAATCTTTTTCAAACACATAAAACATCAACAGTGGAGAAAAATAAGAAAATAAAAAAGAGCGGGAAGCAACGTTGATTCTTGGAGAAGCAACCTTGATAGGTTTCTAGAAAGTAGTAACGTTGATTCTTGCTTTATGAATGTTGCTTCTCTTTATGGCGAGTTTTGGAAAATATCAACGTTGTCAAAAAGAGCGGGAAAAGGGAAATCAGATGGTTTCTTGTGTTTTTCGTAATAGTTTTAAATGAATACGACAGATCCCGGTGGGTCCTGCTACGTGCTCTTTTGAGACACTTTATTTAGTGAGGTGTGTGTTGGTGTAAGCTCTAGAGGCCGATATTTTTGGTACTTGTATCAAATTATTTATTATTAATAAAAGACATTTCTTTATTATGTTTGTTTTTTCTAAAATAATAAAGTCCCTAAAATAGATAGTCCATTTAGTGATATTAAGTGTGGCTTAATAATGAGATCCCATTAAACATAAGGACACTATTCTTAAAGTATCTGTAGTCGAGCTTTACTGTGAAGTGGGATAACCTTAAAACATTAAGACTATTATGTAGATAGAATGATGACCACATCTCATGGATCATGGATAAGGAGTTATCAAGTCTTAACATAAGTATGAATATTAGGAGTAATATTTATACTAGATTGACCCGCTATGAGTGTATTACATATAATGCTATGTAGTGTGTCATAAGTTACTCTCATGGTGATAGTGGTGTATGCCACCCTTCGACCTAAAACCGCTATAGACCCTAGATGTAGAGTCGAGTACTTTATTGTTGATCTAACATTGTCCGTAACTGGATGACCATAATGACAGTTAATGGATAATCCACAAAGCATGCTGAGGGACATGAATAACCTAGATAGAATTTGCGCATCCTGCATAACGGGATAAATGTTTAAGGGTCCAATATTGAACTGAATAAAGATGACACAGTATATGCCTTGTGTTCAATATATACATAAGGACAAAAAAGTAATTGTACACACAAGTATTATCACAAAAGGTTTTGTCAGATCACATGAAATTTTCGTGACTTGGGTAGTAGTGATGTGTTGTTAGATATCACTCACTATTTATCAAGTTAAATTTGTAATTTAATATAATTGTCAACGTCGCGAAAACATACAGGCTCACACACATAAGGACAAATTCGTAAGAGGTAGAGTAAATAAGGAACACCATAAGATACGACGCACTTAGGTAAATGTAAAACACCGTAAGATACAAGACACTTAAGTCGAATAAAGAATATGATAAGGTACCATACGATTAAGTGATACACGGTACACACAAGTGGGATTTTTAACTTGCAGCCTACACAAGTGGTTCTATAAATAAAACCCTTGTGCGGAAGCATTCACACTAATGAAAATTCAGTCTGTGAAACTCTAATCGTATTTTCTTTCTCTCCATCTCTCTCACTCAAAGCCTTTAATCGTAGCAGCTAGCACTGCGACTGAAGAAATTTGTTCGTATGGACTGAGTAGAGGCGCTGTTCGTCGTTCAACACTAGTGATCACTCATTTGATTCAGCATTAAAGGTTTCATCGCCACAAGAGGTAACCGTTTCTATCACTGATCATGACCATTTGTAAGGATAAAGGAAAATTTTTAATTTCCGATGCGTTTTGGATCGTGATTTCCCTTTAGTGGTAATTAAATTATTACCTTGTGGAAGGAGTGGAGTATTGAGGTTATCTTCAGTTTCAAAGGGGAAGATTTCTTAGGGATGAAGTTGAAATGGAAGGAGATATTCATATTCGTGATTGTTCTCTGGTGCAAAAAAGGAAGTTATGAAAGGATTTGTTGGATCTTAAATCTAAATATTCATATGGAGAATGGTGTTTTTGTGGTGATTTCAATTCAACCGTCAATCAAAGGGAGAGGAAAGGTATGTCGTTGGTGAGCAGAAATGAAGGAGTTTTCGAACTTCATTGAGAGCTCCGGCCTGATAGACTTACCGTGCAAAGGGAACAAATTCAGTTGGTATAGTGGAGATGGTAAAACCATGAGCAGGAATGATCATTTTCTATTGTCAAATTCTTTGATTAACAGATGAGGTACAATGGGTAAAATTATTGGCAAGAGGGATATATCCGACCATTGTCCGATTTGGCTAGTGATCAATAATTCTGATTAGGGCCTGAAACCATTCAAGGTCAATAGCAGTTAGTTTGACAACAAATACTTCTTAATTTTTGTAGAGAATGAGTGGAAGAATTTGAGGGTCAAAGGTAGAAGCGATTTTGTACTTAAAGAAAAGTTTAGGTTACTCAAAGTTAGCTTGCCAAAATGGAATTCCAAAGTTTTTGGGAGGATGGACTTGGAAATTGAAGAAGATAGTAGAATGATTAATGAAGCTGATGACTTGCTTGGGAGTTGCAAGGATAGTATGGTGGATGAGGTGGTTGCAAATAGAAGCGATGCAACTTACCGTTTGGCAACTGTTGGGTTCCATTGTTTCCTCTTGCGAAATTGCTTTCATTCCCGATAGGCAACTGTTAGACGGGGTGTTGGCTGCAAACGAGATTGTGGATTAGGAATTAAAGGAAAATAAGGGATGTTTTCTTTTCAAGGTGAGCTTCGAAAAGACATACGATAAGGTGAGTTGGAACTTTCTCATGTATATGATGAGAAGAATGGGATTTGGGGAACATTGGTTGAAATGGATGGATGCAACAATTTTTTCTAGTCATATGTCCGTTTTGGTAAACGGGAGTCCTACGAAGGAGTTTCGGGTGGGCATGGGTATTAGGCAGAGAGATCCATTATCTCCATTCCTGTTTGCGCTAGTATGCGAGGGGTTAACTGGTTTGGTGAGGAAGGCAGTCGAAATTGGCAAATTTCCAGGTTTCAACTTTTAAGGGGAAGTATGCGGTAGACATTATGCAGTTTACTGATGATACTTTATTAGTAGGCGAAGGCAATTGGAAGCATGTTTGATCTCTTAAAATAGTGCTCATAGGATTTGCAGTCATGTTAGGGCTAGAGGTTATCTTCTTGAAAAGAAAGTTGATTGGTATTAATGTAAGTAATCATTTTATGTCTGCTGCTGCAAATTTTTATCTTGCAGGATCGAAGAAAAATATTCACTTTTCTTAGCATTCTGATTGGTCTTAACCCAAGGAGAATTTCATCGTGGAATTCTTTGTTGAGCAAGTTAAAGGCTCGTTTATCTAATTGGAGAGGAAGACTCTTGAGTTTAGAAGGTTGAATTACTTTGTTGAAATCTGTCTGGAGTAGTTAATCTATATTTCTTCTCTCTGTTTATAGAGCTTCGGTGAAAATTTGTAAAGAAATTATGAAACTTCAAAACAACTTTCTTTGGGGTAGAGCAGACGACTGCAAGAAGATTCAATTGGTGCGGTGGGAGCATATTTGTTTGCCTCGGGGCCTTGGCTTGAAAAGGATAGAGGAATTCAACATTGCTTTACTTTTGAAGTGGAGATGGCGTATTATTGAGGGGAAGGACGATATTTTGAGGGCAAGGTATGGGGACTTGAATCATCATGTCTTATCTGTGAATAATAGCAGCACTAATTTTTCAAAATCTGTGTGGTGGAAAGATATTGTCTCATTGGAGAAAAGACATCATGAGGAGGTTTTCAAAGGCAAACGGAGTCTTAATCCCATTTCAGTCAACTTTATAGTTCAGAGATGTTAGATTGAAGGATGTTTTCCATGAATTATTTTCAGAGTACTTTGAATAAAGGAGTGTGTGGCTAGTATGGGTAGCTGGATCCGCAATCGTTGGCATTGGGAAGAATTTTGTATCTCTGTTTTAAAGAACCAGGTTGCGTAACTCAGACTTCTAGAATTGAGTGTGCTACTGTTTTCGATTTCTTTGTCGCGTGATGTAGCGGACAAAGTTGCTTAGAAACTCGATTTGATGAATGGTTACATGGCGAGATCTGGTTATGTTTTCTTGTGTCCTAAAGTGTCTTCTTCAGTTACTGATGCAGGCCATATGAAGGCTTATGATTTTTATGGAAAGCATCAACTCTTTTATAGAGGCATCGTTTCTCCTAATCACCTTAAGTGTATGCTTTATTTAGTTGAGGAGGAATCCTTGGCCCGTCTTCTTTTCCACTATGTTGTTTCTAAGTTGTTTTGGCGAGAAGTGTCGGGATGGTTAGGGATAGAGGTGGTTCACGCAGTCAACGCTTGGAGCATATTTTTGCATTGGGTGGCTTTCTTTAAAAGGAAGAAAGTGAAAGTTGGTAAGGAAGGTAGCATTTGGATCATGTTTTGCTTCTTTACATTAAAAGAAAAGTTACTAGAAATTTAGAAAGGAAAAAAAGTAATAACAGTTTGGTTCGAGACCAATTTAAGATTGGTTAATTTCTAATTCATTCGATATAATTATTCGATTATTTTAACTCCATTTCGGTTCGGTGATTCAATTCGATTCAATGGTTTTTTTAACAGTCCTAATTCAGACTATACATGCACAAAATAATTACTGGTTTAAATAACAACAGTATATCAACGTATAAGAAAAGAAAAAGAAAGCAAGATATAGGATCCAATAGATCATGATCATTGCATTATTAGTAAGTAAACTCCTATAAACGATATTGCAAATGATTTACCAGTCTAAAAACAAACATTCCTCACACTATACTAACCATACAAAATGCAGTTCTATTCCTGAAAAATAATTGGGTAGTAAGAAGAAATGTCTATGCATCCCCCAAGGGGATCCAGTTTTCTCATGTCTTGGCTCTCCCTTAATATAAAGGTAAAACGTTTATATACCAGAAAGTCAGATCCAGGTCCAGCCTTTCTCAGAAGTAACGCATGATATATTTTTTTTCTTCATAGTTTGTCTACAAAAAGTAGGCACCACCTACTTTATCATGTAGGGTTCCCACAAAACTGAAAATTTTGATACTCCTATATGAGGAAGACAAGTCATGGCCACACAATCCAGGTTTACAATGTTTTTGAGCCACACGATCACCAAATTTTGTTTTTGAGCCAGAAAAGCAGAAAGACAACTCCAAAAACAATAGCAACAGGGGCCCATTTTCGAATCAGAGCCTGCAGCAAATATTTCATTTAAAGGTATTTATTCACAATGCTGGCATAAGAGTATAACCCAAATATATAAGGCAGAAGATCTTAAATAGTGCAGCAAATCTTATAACACTAGGCAAGGTTATATTATCTCCATCAACTTTTTTTATTATTACTAACATAGAAGGCTAACTTACTTTTATTAAAGACCCATACCATTGGAATAAAAGACATGGTAAACAGGACTAAGGACTCAATGTATATAGCAGCTACAGTAACTGGAGTTGTAACCAAAAACATGTGACAGCTTGTTCAGTTTTCTTCTCTTTGGTTCTATCCTTTTCAGTGGAACCAAAATGTATCGCTTTTTAACCCAAAGACCCTTAACATGTATACAAAAAAAGAATATAATATAACTCATATATTTAGAGTTCATGTGTTTTTAGTTGTGGAATTAGCCTCTTAATAATACAAGATAACCTGTTTACAATAGACCCAAAATGGACTTGACCCTTACTTAGAGCCCACAGTGACTGGAGCTTTGGACAACCAGTTGCCCTAAGATTAAAATATATCCAAAGCAAAAATAGCAAAAATCTTTGATCTACATATAGAAAATTAAGCTCTAAAAAAAGGAAAGATTGAGGGAAAAGAAAGGAGGAATTTAGGTGGAGAGGTTGGAAAGTTTATTTTTTATTCGTAATACAAAATCCTACTAGATTTGGAGAACTACAAAATTGTATTGGAGGAAGGGTTTGGAGGGTTTTGAAGGACTTAAGATTAATTGTTCAAATATAAATTATGTTGCTATAATATTTCAAAAATTAAAAATATGTTAATGATAAATATTCAATTATCAATCTATACAAAATCATTCTTTCAAAAAATGTTAAAGATTTTTCTATATTTTCTATGTAAAATCATTCTTTCAAAGGGAACACAAATGAAGAATATTTTGAAATAGCAGACAAAATGCGTCACATTTCAAATCCAGAAAATGATAACATAGACTCTTCTATTCTTAGCATAGAGATATCACCAAAGGGTAAATAAAATATCATGCTCCTAATTTGTTATGCGTTGAATAGGTAAATCCAGAAAATTATAAAATAGACTCTTTTATTCTTAGCATAGAGATATCACCAAAGGGTAAATAAAATATCATGCTCCTAATCTGTTATGCGTTGAATAGGTAAGAGGCAATAAAAATGCATAAATCATAATTGTGTGCTTCTATCTAAATTGTAAACGCAAATAGCACAAACCAATTTACAACTGCAGCAGGAAAGCTTCGTAGGTCAAAACCAAATTAACATGCATCACTGTTTTCCAATTACCACGCGTCACTGTTCAAATTACCATGTGTCAAGACAGAAAATCTGAATGACTAACCTGTCTATTTAAATCTTTGGCCTTGTCAGCATATTTGCGAGATTCTAACGATAGGCGACTGGACATTTGGCTGACCTCTGCATATTTGATTTCAAATCATATGTAGAAAACATAAGCTTCATAATTCACAAAGATAAAAGCAGTAAATATACCAACATACAAACAGAAATTGCAGCAGTGTGAGAAGTAGAAATAAGAGGAAATCAACTATTAGAGATATGTTAGGGCAAGCTTAGCTTTGGCCTATTATGACTAGCTAGACTGACACATGTCAGTTGTGTTGCGCTTTCCATTGTATCCATAAATCCCTATATAGTCTACCAGTGTTGTACCCTTTTGCGAGCAAGTCAGCCTCTATTTATTAAACCCTTTCTAACCAGCTAATCCTAAAATCCCTAGTGCGTAAGCAAGCTAGCAAGGTAGTCAGCAACCCTCCTAAGCCTTGTTTTTAGGAGTAACCTGGGATCTTTTTAAGTTTGTTATAGGAAGACGCGCTATTTGAGTAATCTCTTTTTTGAAAAAAGCCAAATTGCATTGAAACCAAAAAAGCACAAGTGCTAAACCAGTACAAAACACAAAGCAGATAAAACACTGCAAACCAACACAACATGCACCAAAACTGAACTAACAAAAAAAAAAGCAGAAACAATAAACTAACACATTAACCAGGAAGCTCCTAGTAGACATTATACTAGGAAGCTCCTGAGTCAACCTCTAATATATAAGTCAGTCAGCACAATGAAGGTGTTGGAGGCTGCAATTAAGGCAAGTCAAATGCCGCAATTTAGGCGACTAGGGGCGGACCGCGATGAGGGCGGAAATTCCAACACACCCCCTCACGCTCGGACTTCAATGAGGCCGAAGCGTGGACGACGTGGGAAGTCCAACAAGTGATCTAGGATAGGCTCTGATACCATCTCAGAGTTTAGGTTGAACCTAACTCATTCCTACAAAACTGGATTGTAAGGTGAGGATTGCCCTCACTTATAAACACAATACAAGCCATATCTCTAAGCAATGGGGGACTAAATCTATCCCTTCAAATACAACACAATGAAGGTGTTGGGGGCTGCAATGAAGGCAAGTCAAATGCCGCAATTAAGGCGATTAGAGGAGGATCGCAATTAAGGCGGAAATTCCAACACTAATCTTGTTTCTCTTAACCTCGCTCACATTGTGCTTCAGACTGCTTCTCCTGAGGAATTGCAAACTGCCAGTGATTCTTCTCCTTCACAAGTGCCTCCTCAAAGCCTTGAACATGACTACCAGGCCTTTTGTGAGGCCTTTTATGACAGCAAACTAGGTCGTGGAGGTCGAAGTGGACGAAGCAGAGGGGGTCGTTTTTCAAACAACACCATTCAGTGCCAAGTGTGCTTTAGGTTTGGTCGTTTTGCACTGCTGGCACAGATTCAACCAACAGTTTCAACCTACAGGCTTCAGTACAAATTACTACAGCCAACTCCTTGGCAAGGTTACTCTATGCCTTATGGTAACATTGTGTGGCTAGACAACCACCACCCATAAGACATGCTCCTCCTGTTGCAAATGCTCCTAGTACACCTTTGTTGCCAATGCTTTGCCCTCCACTTCCATCTCCTGGTTTCCTGACTCCGACACCATGTTGACTCAATCTAAGTATATCAAGGATCTACTGCAACAGACTAATATGAGTGATTCTTGCCCTGTTAAACTCCTATGCAAGCTCACAAAAACTAGTTCATCTGCCTTTCCTGACCCATACATGTTCAAGTCTGTTGTAGGAGTTTTGCAGTAAGCCACCATCACAAGACCTGACATAGCTTACACAGTCAACAAGGTATGTCAGTTTATGTCTGATCCTCTTGAGACTCACTGGGTTGCAGTGACGAGAGTGAAGAGAATCCTCAGATATCTCAAATGCACAATTGGTCAAGGCTTACATCTATCTCCTCATTCACCAACCACTCTTCCATCCTTTCAAGTATTTTGTGATGTTGATTGGGCCTTAGACCCTGATGATAGAAGGAGCACCTCTAAGGCAGTCATCTACTTTGGTCCAAATCTCATCTCCTGGTGGTCCAAAAAGCAGCAAGTTATGGCCAGGTCTAGTATTGAAGCAGAATACATTGTTTTAGGTTCAAACACTTCTTCAAGAATTATGTGTCTCCACCAAAAGCTCTTGTCGTCTTATGTGATGACCAATCAGCTATTATGCTTGCTCACAATCCCATCATGCATTCCACAGGACTAAGCACGTGGATATTGCCCTGTTCTTTGTCACAGAGAAGGTGCTAGCCGAGAAGCTTAATGTCCTTCACATCCCTGGCTCTGATCGGTTGGCAGGTCAACTAGTTATTAGAGATATGTTAGGGCAAGCTTAGCTTAGACATATTCCGATTAGCTAGACTGACACATGTCAGTTGTATTGTGATTTACCTGCTGTAACAGGTCAACTGGTTGTTACTATAAATACAACCAATGGCCGCCTTTTGTAACTAACACTTCAGTTAATCAAAATCAGTTACAACTGAAAATGAAAGGTGCAACTACCTATTCTATTACCAACTATCAAGCTCGTGCAGGTGAAAATGTGGAACTAAGAAATTTTGGCAGAAGTTTCTGAACAATATTTATATTCAACAATGTATCCAAGTCAAGAAAACAGGAAAGGGAGATCACATGCATTTGAAGATGATGTTGTCAATATATAACCAACACCCTATTGGAGAATCATCTAATGTTCCTTCCATTTAACAAGTAGGACAGACTTATGTTACTGTTTTACTGCAGCTGCTCTTTTCAAATTATAAGAGGATCCAAGGCATCAATAGCCTTTAATTTAACATATTAATCATCCCTTAACTTAATACCGTAGAAGTTATTTTTTGTCAGAAAAGGTAAAGTTATGGTCAGGTTAAAAAGGGCAGAATATTGAACATCGTCAACCCGACCTTATCAGTTTTGAAGCCAGTTGTTTGATGAATTAAACTAATATAAAATTGGAATTAAGCCTAGTTTACTGTAATAAGACCAACCAAGTAAGCAGACAAATGTATGTAAACTATTTTTAGTACAGAGCACATATAAGCCAATAAAAACACAAACATTTTACAGATCCTAACCCATGCTTCATTTCTTATGAATGGATTTATTAGCCATATATTTTTCAGGAAAACCCAACACCATTGGATGCATATATAGTAGAGGCCTGTATTATGTTCAAATTCTTAGGCAATCAGCAGCTAAATTGCAAATACAAAAACTACAATTATTCAGAAAATACAATGAATAACTTACGATCCAACTGTTCACCAACACCAAGAACTTCCTGCACATTTCGAGTCATAATCTGGTGGACTTCATAAAGTTCATCATTCAACTTTGCAATATTGCGTTGTGTATGGGTATCCTGGTAAAGTTTCTTTGTCTTCTGTATAAACGTGTCTATTAAACACTCAAAAGAAAAAAAGATGAATTAAACTCCATTGGAAAAAGAGAAGATATGCTAAATGGTATGTGACAGTGCAGAAACTGATATCTACCAAACTTAATGAAGGCATAAGGTCTGGCAGCAGTTTCGATTTGAGCCCCATTAACACGCTCAAACTCATTCCTGAGCTCTTCAAGATATTGAAATGCTAGTTTCTTAGGGTATGCCCGATCACACATTGTCAAGTAACAGACCCGTCCTTCTATGATATAACTTGTTTGTGTCAAGGTCATATTGGGCTATGGAATTTTTTCAGATATAATTAAAGCAAAAGAATACTAATTTGAAATATAATAGACCATAAAACTTCAAGATCATGAAAACAAGATCAACTTGCTAGGGAAGTAAGGTTTTGGAAAAACAATATAGCATAACACTTTTCACATGCATGAGATATACAAAACCATCAGCTTAATTATGATTCAACTGAGATAATAGATATCAATCAAAACAAAGAAAACATATCATAGCTTCTTACAATGAACAAAACTCTGAGATTTGCAGACCTAGCCTAAAAATATACATCTCGATAAATAAAGTAATGTCCAGTCAAGCATCTGATTCTGGGGATGGCAATTAGTGGAAGATAACAGCACCCATTTTAACAACAAACTGTAGACAACTCCACAGTTCGATAAAATTATCTATCATTCGATCCTGCATCTGATATTTTATCAATTCCCAAACAAATATTATTTCCTACACTACACATTATAATTGCTATACTCAAGCCATTCTTACAAGACTACTAGACATGATATATGAGAAGGATACTGGAAAATATAAGGACCACTTTCAACTGACATCCTCGACGCCTCATTATGCCCTCTTGATAGATTCTTAAACAACGCCTTGACTTGCTGTTTGTAAAATTCACCATCTTTAAGATCGCGACCATCATCTAGTCCTTCAGCCAGTGGAAGACCATCAGTAACACGAGCAATCATAGTCAACTTCACCATCTTTCTCAGTTTACAATCTCCCTCTCAAAGTCTTGAACTTTGCTACCGAACCAAACCAGACTACATTACCAAACAAAAATACAGTTAAGCTTAAGAGTCAAAACTGATCAGAGGTACAAAAAACATACAAATTCCTTTACTTTCCTTCATTCAACTATTAACCGAGGTACAAAAAACATACAAATTAAGTAATGAATAAATTCCTCATATACACTACCACAAAACAGCATCAAAATCATAAATTTTGGCTCCACTAACGTGACTAAAGTGTAAAATAAGAAAACCAAGGGTTGTTATTTTAACGAACTCATATTTTTATGATGTATAAAATCCACCATTGATCTGTTAATCAAGGGTAAATTGAGTTGATGTCAAATCCCTAAATCATGATACCCTAATTTTTTTAGCCTAGGTGGATTTAACCAAAAAAAGCAAATTTCAAACTATTCATTTAATTTAACCCTTGTACAATACAAAGTTCAAAAGCTATTTTTTACATTGCAAAATATCAAACAAAATATAACAATGAAAATTGAATCCCAAAAAATCTACATAAAAGGCAAAACTGAACGAAAATCTGTAAGAGAACTCATGCATGTACTCCGTAAAAGTTTGCATCGCCAATTACGACACTACGCCGTTGTTTCTTATATAATTTACTAGATCTGACAAAACAAAAAACGCAACAAAACCTAATTTACGTCATTCAGATCTGGCGGAGTTAAATCATCATCTTCATTCCTAGATAACTAATATAGATTAGGTTTTTTCTTTTAAAACTATGTAATATTGCAAAATTAAGGAAAAGTAAGATTGAAGTAAAGTGCAGATAGAAAGAAAAATGTGACGGCGAAGAAACCTGAAGAAGGATGAAAAAAGGGAAGTGAGAAGGTGGCCGGAGCTGCGGCAGAAATCGGCGGCGTTGATGGTCCAGCCGATCCGAGCCGATCCGATCCGATCGATGAAACTTTCGGAAGATGTTATGTTCACGTTGAATTGAAATGGAATGAAAATGGAGTGTGAGAATGAGAGACTCACCAAAAACGCATGCACTTAATTTGTGTCTTGATTAACTCCTAGCATGAGCGTTTCTATTAGTTAAAATTAAAATTGCCACGTGGACCATAAGAACTAATTAGCAAGACACTTTAAATAGAAGACGCAGAGACTCCGATATCTTTAGATTTAATTGGGTATGGGTACTCTTGTTTAATAAAATAATAATATTCAATGATATATCATCTTCTATATAGATTTTATTTAAAAATTTATTAATCTTTTAAATGAATTTCTACTAAATGTGCCGATATCTACATAAGAATTTGTCGTAGAAGATTGTTTATTTTGCACACAAAACCTCAAAATGGCCTTAGAAAAATGCATTTTTGAATTTATCAAATTCTTAAAAAAAAATTGAAACTTTACTTTCAAAAATGGTTGAGCTTAGCAAATCGAGAAAAAAAATACAAAATAAAATGTAGGAAATAAAATATAAATTAACATCAATCATTATTATTACATGCATTAAAAATATAATATTATATAGATAGCGTAAATCTAATATTTCATTTCATAATGTTTGAGGACGTTTCCAACATCTTTAGAATATCTTCGATCGATCTCGCAACCTTCGCATCCACCTCGATTGAACTTTTTATTTTGTAACGGCGAAATGTATTCGACATAACAATTAAATATGCATTCATCTTCAGTTCAAACTTGTTGAAATGCATCTTCCCTTTATTATTAATCGAGGGTGAACGATGTTGAGAATAATAAAGTCAACTGTGAGTTGGAGTCCCACATTGGTTATAAATTTAGAGATCCCCTTAAGATTTTGAGTGAATATGTGGTCTCTCTCTCACTTCTGTATTGCTCTTAGTCCAATGTTGATGATCCTCCTTCTAGACCGATTTCCTGGTGACCCAACCAATCCTAAGATGAAATTAAGCTTATGTGCAATTATGCACTTTTTACTATTAGTTATTACATCTACTTAAGTTGTTTACTGTCGATAACCTATGGGTGAGAATGAAAATATGAAATGTTTCGGGAGTTGAGAATGAAAATATGAAATGTTTCGGGAGTTTTGTTTTATGAAAGGTATGGGAACCTAAGGGGTTTTATTTAAAGGTGTGCTCGATAAGATCTCGCAATTTTATGCTTACGTATTCCCAAAAAGAGACTTTGGGAAATCAAAGCGTTCGTAGTTCCACCTAACTATGGGTGAAATTTGTATCTTGTTCAAAGCGCAAGATGATGAAGCTAAAAGGGTATTTGTGTATCTTGTTCAAATCCCAAGATATGAAGCTAAAAATTTTGTTGGTTTGAAAGAGAAGACAAGTTGTCATTCTTAAGGGAGATATCTCACCTATTCATCACAAACATTTGAGAAAATCATAAGGGAAAAAGCTTTGAACTTGGATGTTAAATAATCATAAGTAATGTCACATCTTCCTTTATGAGTCTTTGCATTCTAAGAGAATGACCTTAACTTGGATATAGTATCAACAAGTGTGCCACTTACATCACTTAGATGGAAGAAATGTTTGAGACCATGATAAGAGAAAGACTTCAACTTGCATTTTGAATCAACAAGTGTGCCACTTATATCACTTATATAGAAAAAAAGTTTTTAATATTTGATTTTAAATTATGGTGTATAGAAGAGATATTTTTCTACAGGGATGACTCAATGTCTCATCTCTGGGGAGAAGTTGATTTATTTGAGTATCTCGTTCAAAACCCAAGATGTTGAAGGTAAAATATTTGTATCTTGTTCAAAAGGCAATATGTGAAGCTAAGAAGGTTTGTTTTTATTTTGTTCAAAGCTCAAGATATGAAGCTAAAAAGTTTATTTTCCTGAGAGGAGACTGACTTAACTGGGGGGTTTTCAATTGATGGTATCTTGTATGAAGCCCAAGATGGAAGCTATGATGCTTTTTAAGAAGCCTGCGGATTCTTGTATGAAGCCCACGATGAGGCTATGATGAAGTTGACTTCATCCAAAAGAAAACTAGTGTTTGAACTGAGTTGTAGTTGAGGGAACCCTAATGTTGAACCAAGTCTAAACTAAATATGAGATTTTATAAATGTCAAGAGAAACTTAATATGAATAAGTATATGACAAGTATTTAACAAATATAGACATGAATTTAAAATGCGGGGTCTTACACTCTTATAGAGGTCCATGTCTAAGCATGATTGAATTGAAAAAATGATGGGTTTTACACTCTAATAGAGACCAAAAGGTTTGATTTTGAATGTCACTATGGTTTTGTTTGATGAAAGTTGAAGATTGAGTTTTGAAAGATTGAATATTTTGAGAAATTGAAAAAAAAATTGAGGAGTAGGGTAGAGACTTACACTCTAATAAAGGTCAAAAGAATTTTAAAAATATCTTATAACTAACAGTTCATAGTTGTAGAGAGAGAGAGAAAATCAGATTTGAAAAATACAAGTCGGTGTTATTTTGACACAATTTTAAATCAGTTTGTAATATTTATTAACTGTCTAGTGTATCTGATTATCGACATATTTGAACTCTATTTAGCAACAAAATTGATGTCGAAATTTAATATCAAACTTGTGTCAAATTATTATTTCTCAAAAAATAGAAATTAAAGGTAGTGCATCATCAATATAAATTAAATTTACACATTTCACTATATTATATTAGTATTTTAAAATTAAAGAAGTAATTTATCAGAATACATATAAGTGATTGATATTTTACACCAACCATATTTAAAGATAAATTGGTGTATTAATTTGGTGCTAGCCATGTGCGAAATTCAAACCTTATTTATATTAGCAACGGTCGACAACCCAAAAGGTTACATATACTCTTCTTCTGCTGCCGAGTCTCTGAACCGATTCATTTCAATGGCTACCAAAGATTCATCAATCAAGTTTCACGAAATCATCATCGATAGTGAAGGATCCAACCCAAGTTCAGAATGTGACGATTCAGAAGAAGACCCCGATTTCGAAATGCTCGAAGAAACCCATCGAAGCTTCTCCAACCTCTCACTCGGGAACAACGCAAAAAAGCGGTAATATCACAATTCCATTTAACCACATCATTCAAGATTTGGGTTTTACGTTTATTTATCGTTAATTTGGTGTTTTCAGCATAGTTGATGATAAGGGTATGGCTACTACTGAGATGAATTCGGAAGTGGTTAAGATCAGTGCAGCTTCTGTTGATGATGAAAATTTTGAAACAGTTCAGAAATTAATAAAGGGTTTGTCTTCTTTCTCTTCATGATTCCTCTTTTTGGGTATTGTAAGATGGTTGCTTTGTAATTAGGATGCTGTTTGGATAAAGTAGTTAATTAAGTGCTTATACCATAAGCACTTGTTATGTAATTGCTTATGCATAAGCTAATAAGCTATAAGCAATTTTTGTGGGCGATCTTGGACTGCTTGTGCACATGTCATAAGATGTTTTGATAAGTTCTCTCTAATGACAAACCCTAGATTATTATCTATAACCTTATGTAAACAAGCCTTGAGTAGTTAGACTTTGTTTAGAAAACAACTTCATCATCTACATGTTTATGGATAAGTTCGTTCTATAAGCTGTTTTCATTAGTTATCATGTAGAGAGCCTAGGGAAATAGGCTAAAAATTGTGCATGAGAAAAGTAGTTTTCACATGTTTTTCTCAAGTGCTTATGCAAGTAGATAAGTCCAGATAATTTCAAATACCGAGATAGAACTTCTTGTGTAGCTATGCTTAAGGAGGTTGAATTTTGGTAATTGTAAATTAGAGATGTTCAAGGTTTCTCTGGTTGTTTTCGGTTTACAGATGGACTGCTAGAGAAACTGAAAGTGGACCAATGCAAGGTGTATTTGAAGAAGAATAGTCTGAGGTTAACTGGAAATAAGGACACACTTATCCAGCGTATAAAGGAGCATCAAGAGTAATGATTTATTTTCTTTAAAAAAAGTTGTCTTTTTTAATAACTGTATGGTTTGTTCTGATTATGTGAGATT